CCCCATCCCCAGTTAAGGCAGCCACTCCCTCACAAGTCAGCTGGGCCCCTGAGGAGGGGGTAGAGCAGAGGTGGCCACACCCATCATCAGTCAGTCTATCAGCAACTCTGGCCTGGGTTCCCGAAATTGTAAGGCCCATTGTAAGGCCCAGAGGTCTGGCCCCATTGGATGGAATTCAGACCTGAGCACAAAGAGGAGCTCTCCACAGCCCCACCTCTGCTTTCTGTCCAGTGCACCTTATAGTCTGATTTCAAACAACTCTGTCCCCTTTCCACCATTCCCTAGACGCTGTGATTCCCCAGGGAAAGCTAGTCTGCTGTGTGCCTTCTGGCCCCCTCTGAATGGGTGCTCTGAGAAGGAGATTTATGAGGCTGGAAGCATGGCTCCTGACATTCTCCCATACCCCTCAAGGAGTTCGATTATCACTCTCAGACCAAACTCCTTTTAGCTCCTCAATCTGTGTTATGGCAAGATTAGCTCAGAGCCTGAAAATGGTGGGGGTATTCTGACATAAAGATGCTGGCACAGAAGCTGGTCAGCTTGTCAGCTTTGTGGTCCCAGGAGGTAGATTTTTCTTTTTACCTAGAGGTGGGAGGTGGCATTTGTGCCAATCAAACTCACAGGATCCTAATAACAGTTAATATCTATCGAGTATTTACTGGCCCTAGTTTATTTATTTTGAGAGAGAGAGAGCACACACACACATGTGAACAGGGGAGGGGCAGAGAGAGAAAGAGAGATAGAGAGAGAAAGAATCCCAAGCAGTCTCCATGCTGTCAGTGCAGAGCCCAACTCAGAGTTCCATCCCATGAGTCGTGAGATCATGACCTGAGCAGAAATCAAGAGTCAGATGCTTAACCAACTGAGCCACCTGTGTGCCCCTGAAAATGGATATTTGGATATGGATATGAAATGGCACAAAGGAGGAAACTGAAGCTTGGGAAAGTTAAACAACCTACCCAGAGTCACCCAGCTAGAAAAGGATAGGGCCAGGACTTAAACGCAAGTCTGTCTGCTTCAGAACTGTGCTTTTAACCCACTGTCTAATCCAAAGTACTAATTTCTAATTTACACTTAGAAAAGTGTGGACCTAACCAGGAGTTTGTGTCATCTGGTTGGCATGTTTTCTTACTGTGGGACAATATCCTTTTTTTTTTTTAAGTTTATTTATTTTTGAGAGAGCAGATGTGCACACAAGCCAGGAAAGGGCAGAAAGAGGGGGACACAGGATCTGAAGCAGGCTCTGCGCTGATGGCAGAGAGCCCGACACAGGGCTTGAACCCGCGAGACCATGACCTGAGTTAAGTCGGATGCTTAACTGACTGAGCCACCCAGGCGCCCCAAACAATATCATTTAGAAGCCAAAATATAATCAGAAAATAGTTTGAGGAGTTTGGAATGAGGCAAGAGGAAAAAAGTCAGTTTGTTGTTAAAATCACCAAGCCATGAAGGGCTGGACAACCTCTCCACCCAAGGGAAATGTCAGTCAAGAGGAACATGCACTCATGCTGGTTGAGCAGGGCCTCCTCCAGGGTGGCCAAATGCAGTCTGCCAGAGATCTTTAGCTTGAGATGTTTTACTGAATTAGCCCACATGAATTACCTATTAGGTAGTTATGTCTAACTACTAACTATCTGCTCTCCACCACCACTGCCTGGGATCCTGCCAGCAGGCGCAGTCATTTAGCAAACATAACCAAACCAGAATATATTTTGATATTGTGAGTGGTATAAGCTTGATTCTACCAAAGAACAACATGGAGCCAGAGCCCTGTGAGGGGTGGCTACCAAAGGGAAATTGGGAATAATGAAGATTTCATAATGTATTTGAGTCATGTTTGAGTCATGGACTCTACTTAACCAAGAGGTTAAGTTACTAACATATGAAGAAGAAAAGTAGAACCTTACGTTTGTGATTGTGGAGAGGTAATAGGGGGTGATTGAGAATGCAGACTCTGGAGTCAAACAGCCTGGGGTTCATGTGTTGTAGGCAAAGTCCTACTCTCTCTGTCCCAGTCTCCTTTCCAAATGGGGATAATGAAGGCTCCTTCCTCATAAGCTTGTTTTTTAAAATTTTTTATTTATCTTTTAATTTTTTTTAATGTTTATTTTTATTTTTGAGAGAGTGAGAGGGACAGAGAGAGAGGGAGATACACAATCCAAAGCAGGCTCCTGGCTCTGAGCTGTCAGCTCAGAGCCTGATGCAGGGCTCGAGCTCACAAACCATGAGATCATGACCTAAGCCAAAGCCAGCCGCTTAACTGACTGAGCCACCCAGGAGCACCATAAGCTTGTTTTTGTTGTTGTTGTTTTAAAGTTTATTTATTTATTTTCAGAGAGCAAGAGAGTGGGGGAGGAGCAGAGAGAGAGGGAGAGAGAAAGAATCCCAAGCAGGCTCCACATTGTTAGCATAGAGCCCGATGCAGGGCTCGATCTCCTGAGCCATGAGATCTTGACCTGAGCCAAAATTAAGAGTTGGATGCTTGACTGACTGAGCCACCCACTCATAAGGTTGTTTTAAGGATTAAATGAGATGAGATGATTAGTGTAATGACTTGCACAGTGTCTGGATACATAATTTGCACTTAATATCTGTGACTTACCACCTTAGCATGTGACTCTTGGAGGAAAAAAACTTAGATGTCCCGACCAGACAGGACTGGAAACAGGACGGTAAATGCTTGCTCTTGGTTAGTCTGCTAGTCCGCAACACACACACACACACACACACACACACACACACACACACACTGGAGTGTATACACTTTTCTCCTCTCCATGGTAACCTCAACTTCCTCTGATAGAACCTTATTTGCTCAGACTGAGAACAAAAGCATTGCTTCAGTTTCTGTTTTCTTCCTTTTTATGCCTAGGCACTGTCTGGGCTGCATTTTTCCCAGTCTCCCTCAGATTGATGGGTGTCTGCTGCCACTTAATCTAACCTTCTGCTTGTGGGGGATACTGACTGGGAAACAGGAAGGGTGAAGAAGATTCTATGGGAGACATTAGCAGGGCTTTCTCATGTACACAAAGCTTTGGAGGAAATTCATTCAATATATGTTCACTGAGCACTGATTCCAGGTGGAGCCCTATTGCAGGGGCTAGGAATACATCAGTCCCTGCTCCCCAGAGCTTATAGGGCAGGGGAATAAATAGATAAGAAATGAAATAGGCAAGTAGTGTAAAGTATTATGAAGGGAACAATAGTGGAGATGACACAGAATGGGGTGGGGAGAAGAGTGAAGAAAAGACCTCTTTGAGAAGGAGTCACTTAAGGAGAACTTAAGGATAAAAAAAGGGCCAGTCAGATGACGAGTCAGGGCAAGAGCATTCTGGATCAAGGAAACCACAAGTGCAAAGGCCCTGAGGTGAGAATTTCTTTAGTTCAAGGAATAGAAAGGAAGAGGAGGAATGCAGGGGATGCAGCTGGAGACCAGGCAGGACCAGTCAGGAAGAGCGGGGTCAGGAGGTCACATTTTTAGCTTGTGGGAAATGGGGAGCTCCATAATGTTTGAGCAAGGAATGTCATGACCTGATATATATGTGTGAGACCCATCTCCCCATTCCCACCTCACCCACCAGGCCCAGTTGGCTCGGGCACTCTACGACAACACCGCTGAGTCCCCCCAGGAGCTGTCCTTCCGCCGAGGGGATGTTCTACGGGTACTGCAGAGGGAGGGCGCTGGTGGGCTGGACGGCTGGTGCCTCTGTTCCCTGCATGGCCAGCAGGGCATTGTGCCCGCCAACAGAGTGAAGCTCCTTCCTGCTGGCCCGGCACCCCAGCCGGTGCTCCCAGCCCAGCATGGCTCACCACATCCAGCCCCAGAGCACAGCAATGAGGACCAGGAGGTGAGAGCTAGAGCCCTCCCATCCCCAAACCAGAAGAGCCTAGTTCCCCTTCACTGGTGCCTGCGGCGAGGTGGGGCAGGGCAATCCCTGAGACCACAGCTCTTCACTGATCCTGTACTATGTGAAACCTGCCTGCCAACCCTTCCTCGGCTCTGTTTCCCCATTGGTACGGGGTGGGGGCTGGAAGGGATCTAAGCTCCTGTAAGGCATACATTATCTTCTTCCTGGTCCTGACCCACGCATCTGTCTTGATCCCCCAGGTATATGTGGTACCACCCCCAGCTCGGCCCTGTCCTACCTTAGGACCTTCACCTGGACCCTGCCCGCCCTCCCCTGATCCCATCTACAAGGTCCCCAGAGGGAGTGGGACCCAATCAGCTGCCCCTGGAGATGCCTTGGAGGTGAGGACCAGAGGTCTGTGTATGTTGGTCAGGGAACAGAGGGCTCTCAGTGGGGTCCACTGCTGAGGCTGAGGGTAACTGGTGGCTCTGCTCCCTCTCCAGGTCTATGATGTGCCCCCCACTGCCCTCCGAGTTCCCTCCAGTGGCCCCTACGACTCCCCTGCCTCCTTTACCCGCCCTGTAGCCCGGGTTGCCTCACAGCCTCCTGAAGAGGATGAAGCTCCCTATGATGTGCCTTTGGCCCCAAAGCCACCGTCAGAACTGGAGCCAGATCTGGAGTGGGAGGGAGGCCGGGAACCAGAGCCTCCCCTCTACGCTGCCCCCTCCAACCTGAAACGGGCATCAGCCCTGCTCAATCTGTATGAAGCACCAGAGGAACTGCTAGCAGATGGGGAAGGTGGAGGCACTGATGAGGGCATCTACGATGTGCCCCTGCTCGGGCCGGAGGCACCCCCTTCTCCAGAGCCCCCAGGAGCCTCTGCCTCCAATGACCTGGACACCTTGGCCCTGCTTCTGGCCAGAAGCCCCCCACTCCCACACAGGCCCCGTTTGCCCTCAGCTGAGAGCCTGTCCCGCCGCCCTCTGCCTGCCCTGCCTGTTCCTGAGGCCCCCAACCCTTCCCCAGCTCCCTCTCCTGCTCCAGGCCGAAAGGGCAGCATCCAGGACCGGCCTCTGCCCCCACCCCCACCTCGCCTGCCTGGCTACGGGGGCCCCAAGGTTGAGGGGGATCCAGAAGGTGGGGAGGTAGAGGATGATCCAGCAGGACACCACAATGAGTATGAGGGCATCCCGATGGCCGAGGAATATGACTATGTCCACCTGAAGGTGAGCTCACCTCCCAACACCCCCAACGGAAATGCCCCCAAGAGAGCCAAGGGGAGGAGTGAGAAGGTCTGGGACCCAGAGGGACCCTCCCTTTCTTCACTGGCCCTGCACCTTATGGCCTGGGTTGCCAGTACTTGGTCCCACCACTTGTACTGGTGCCACATTCCTTCTAAACCCAGCCTAGGGTCCCCAAGTCATCTGACCTGCCACCAGGGCTTCTCCCAGACCTGGAGTCAAGGGACTGGAATCTCTGATGGCAGAAGAAACCTCAGGAAGGAAGGCGGAGGGGGAAGGGGCAGGAACATGGGGAGGCCACCTTCCCTGCTCCCCCACCACTGCACTGAGACCCTGATCCCTCCTGCAGGGCATGGATAAAGCTCAGGGATCTAGGCCCCTGGATAAAGCCTTCCCAGGGGATCCTGAACTGCTGGAGAGGGGGCCACCGGAGCAGCAGGTAACCCTGTGGGTCAGTGCTAGAGAAGGGGGACCAGGAAGAGGAACCATCAAGGGAGAGATATTAGGATGGGGGTAAGAGCTCGGTGAGCCAGAGCTGGAGTACAGAGGCGTCAGCATGAAGGAGCTGGGACCTGAAAAAGAGTATTAGGAATTCAGAAAGAGGGGAAAGAATGTGTTGGAGAGGAATCAGAAAACCGAGCAGCCAGGGAAGCAGAGAGAGTTCTGGGATGTGGGTCAGAGCTAGGCCAGGTAACTTCTGAGGCTCCTTCCAACTGTGAATTCCTGGGTTCCTAAGAGACCTGGCTTCTAATCCCGGCTCCACCAGTAAGCAGCCAGGGGCCCTGAAGCCACCAGATAATCTCTCTGGGCCTCAGGAAAGTGAGGTGGCCTCCTCAACTGTGTGGACCGGTCCTGAGCGTAGTAGCTACTGTTTATCGGGTATTTACCAAGTACAGACCCTGTGCTAATAAGCACATCGCATGTGTCAACACTAATCACAGCCATAGTTAGTACTCATATGGTGCTCACAATGTACAGTGTTCTGTTCTAAGCCCTTTCTATATGCTGCATCATTAACTGCACCACAGCCTTGGGAGGCAGATACTAGAACTGCACTATCCAGTATGGTAGCCACTAGTCATGTGCGGCTCTTAGGCTCTTGAAATGTGGCTAGTCTGAATCAAAAAGTGCTGTAACTATAAAACGCACACCAGGTTTTGCAGGCTTAGTATGAGAAGAAATCTAATTTATATGTTGATTATAGGTTGAAATTACAATTTTTATATCTGGAGTTAAAACATTCCAGTTTGTTTCTTTTTCTTAACATGGCTACTAGAAAAATTTTAATTACACATGTGGTTTACATTATGTTGATCCTGGACAGCATGGTACCAGATTCTCCATTTTAGATTATAAGGAAACAAGTTCAGTTTGAATCTAGATTTATCTGACATCACCTCTGGGCACTTTCCTGCCACTGGCTGTGAGAATTTAAATTTTCTAATGAGCAGAGGGAAGAGCTCAGGTAGAAAGGATAGAATGAGGAACAGAGGGAGGGAAGGAGGGAGAAAACGATTGCAAAAGTGGCACTACTGAGAGCATCCCGCCAACCACTCCTCTTGCCCTCAGGAGGCCCTGTCTGCAGGGGAGCCGCTGGATCTGCCCACCGGAGATCTACAGCTCTTGCATTTCTACGCCGGGCAGTGTCAGAGCCACTACTCAGCACTGCAGGCAGCCGTGGCGGCCCTGATGTCCAGCACCCAGGCCAACCAGCCCCCACCCCTCTTCGTGCCCCATGGCAAGCGGGTGGTGGTGGCCGCTCACCGCCTGGTGTTTGTTGGGGACACCCTGGGCCGGCTGGCAGCCTCCGCCCCTCTGCGAGCACAGGTCGGGGCTGCAGGTACAGCGCTGGGCCAGGCATTGCGAGCCACTGTGCTGGCTGTCAAGGGGGCCGCCCTGGGCTACCCGTCCCGCCTTGCGGCCCAAGAGATGACACAGCGTGTGGCAGAGCTGGCAGGGCAGGCCCTGCAGTTCACCACTCTGCTCTCCAGCCTGGCCCCCTGAGGGTCCTGCTCTGTCCCTCTCCTGCCTGCCAGAGCCCCCTTTTGGGCCTTGGGTGGCAGGAGGGCTCTGTTTTTAGGGACCAGGAGAGGTGGGGACATCTCTCCCCTTCCAGTCATCTCAGCCTCTCACAGAGATGTCCCTCCCCCCACAGCTTTTTGTACGAGCCATTTTGTATAAATTATTTATATTTAATATTATTCCCTGCTTTGTCAGGGGCAGGTGCCAGGCCCCTTGGGGCAGGGAGGAACTGGACTCTTTCCCTCAGCCTGGGGTGGAAGTTCTTGGTCACTGCACTGCCACCCACCTCTGAAAGCTTGGCCCCCCAGAGATTCGGGTGGCTGAAACCTGGAGCCATCCAGATCTTTTTTTGTTCTGGTTCTTGGCTCTAGGACATCAGCACCTTACTGTTAGCTGAAAGTGACGGCATGATTTTGACCACCCAGAATGTGGAGGTCTGGGAGAGGCCTAAGGGCTCCTCCCCACAGCAGGCAGGACAGAACTGGGCCTCAATAAGCCCTGCTGTCTGGTTCTCTGACTCTGCTTCTTGGGCACCTGGGGGAGGGGCCAGGCCTGGCACCCCTAGGCCAAACCTATGGAATACACACTGTGGGCAGGATATCTTTAGGTTTGGGGGGAAGATTTTGCTGTTTTTTTCCAAAAACTATTCATTCGGTGGGTTTCACCTCCCATGATGTGCCAAGCACAGTTCTGAAGGTACATTGTGGGGGTGGGATGGATATAACTGAGTCAGTTAAAATAAGTAAATAAAAAAGAATACCTGCCACAGATTTGACAGTTGCTGGTAATGGAAATGAACAGGGTGATGTGAGGGACTAACTGGATGAAGGAGAGGCTGTTGAAGGAGACTTTAGATGGGATGGTTGAGAGTAATAGCTGAGCTGAGGCCCCAGGGATGAGAGAACAGAGAAGAGTCCAGAAGGCAGACACTGTTAGTGATGGGGGCTTTTCCACCAAGACTTCATTATCATATGATGTCATTAGAGAGTTGCACTTGTGGAGAGGTTGGCCTCACAAGAGCCTTGAAAGGTGCCATGCTGAAGACATCATCCCAGTGAAGGCCTGTTCTCAGCTTGGCACCACAGGACAGCTCTGGCCAACTGGAAAGTGCTGCTGGCTGGCCTGGGCACCCTCCGCCTTAGATTAACCCAAGAAGGTCTGGCCCCTTAAACCTTCCTTCCCAGTCCTCCTGCTCACTGCCTTTCTAGACACACCTTCTTTTAGAAGAGCCGAGGGGCAGGTGAATGCAATTAGTCCATAGTCCTCATGCTTTGGTGAAATTGATGAGCCATGGCTTAGATGGGGGATCGCTCCAGCCATTTACCACAGGGAAGAAATCCAAGCCACAGATGCATTGCTTCATTTGTGCTTTTTCCCAAATGACATTTTAGCACAGTGACTGGATTAGAGGCACCCCAAGCTTCAGTCACAGTTCAGGTCTCTTGGCACCCTCTATGCGTTTGCCTTCTCCATTTTGGGTTCCTTCTTTCTCATATCACCCTTAAAGAAAACTCACTTCCAGATTCTGGGGTCACCAAAATGCACACTATGTATTGAAGACTTGTAACAGGGCTGTCCTCCATCTCCCAGGAAGAATGTAAAGAGATCAACCTGGAAATCAAGTCAGAGGTTTCAGTGCAAGTCCCAGATCTGCCATGTACCCATGTGTCTGTGGGTAAATCCTGTGAGTCCCTCTGAGTCCTGAGCTTATCTTTAATATGAGGATGATCATAATGGTCTCACAGGGTTGTTGAGAGGCCATACAAGATAATACATGTGAAGGGCCCAGAGCCACATAAAGTTAAGGGATTATAATTCCAGGGCAGACATAAGGACACAGACAAATGAATCCCCAAGGAATGCTGACTGTGACAGCACCAAAGTAAATCCTAAAGAGATACTGAAATGAGCCGGGGGCGGGGTGGGGGGGGGTGGGGGGCGGGCGGAGGGGAGCAGTGGGAAGCTGCTTAATGTATTGGAAGGCTTCTCATATCTGGAAATTTTCTGAACAGAGGAGGCAAATTGGAAGTGTGGTCCAGTGGAGAGAAGAAGCAATGGATTTCCTGGCTGAGACTAACAGGACACTCCTCTATAGCCCTTACCTTAGATGAAGAATCAAGTACCTGTTAGGTATCAAATCTCTTAGAGAAGTGTACCTCTAACTTGAATGTACCTATTCATGGGGATCTGGTTAAAATGGAGATTATGATTCAAAGGCTTGGATTCTGCATTTCTGACAAGCTCCTGGATGAGCTGGGAGCTCTAGTCTGTAAGTCACACTTTTGAGTAGTAATTCTAGGGGTTAAGGAAGGCTTCTCTGAGACAAATGTGCAAATATGCTGAAGGATGAGGAGAACTGACTAAGAGAGGACAAGCCTTGAAGCCATAAAGATTAACTTGTCCAAGGGCCCTGTGACATTGAAAAAAAAACTGAAAGAAGTCCAGTGTGATGAGTGCAGTTTGGGGAAAGAAGCGAGGTGGAGCACCAGGGAGCATGGGACCAGGCCTGCAGGAGCATGTATGAGGCTCCTGGAACATTAGTATTTATTTATACCTTGTCGGTGAGGAGAAGCCACTGAAGGCTGTTAAGCAGGAAAGGGACATGAACAGATCTGCATTATGAAAAAAAACAAACACTCCATCTGCACTATAAATACAGATAAGGGAACAGGGCAGAAACAGTGGATGCAGAACACCAGTTAGGAGGCCCAAGTAGTCTGTGCAACAGGTAGCTTGACTAATGGTAGAAAAGCAGAGTATCTGAGAACTATGCAGGAAGGAAAATGGACAGGGTTTTGTAAACGATTTGATATGGGGGTAAGGAGGAGTCCTTGTAAGGGCTGTCACCTTGAACATATGGTCACAGTTGAATGGTGAGGGTACCATTCACAAGGCAAAGAAGCACTAGAAGACGTTACAGGGGAAGAGCGTGAGTTTGGTCTTGGATGTATTGAGTTTGAGGTCCTTGTGAGTCACCCAAGGTTAAGAAGATGAATAAGAGGTGGCTACATAGGTCTGGGGCTCAGAAGAGAGGTGTGAGCTAGAGGTGTAAATCCAGGGATTAGGTTTGTATTGTTTACATTGGGGGTGAATGAGGCCGAGGCTGTGAGCATGGGTGAGATCCCAAGGTGGAAAGAACAATGAAATGAGAGGAGGGCCCAGGACCAAGCCTCAGGTTCGAAGACACTGAATGATGGTGAAGAGGTGGAGGAGGAGCCTGCCATGGAGAAAAAAGGAGCAAGAGAAAGAAAACCAGGAGAGTGTGAGACTTAGCAGCCAAAAAAGAAAGTGTTTAGAGGAAGGGGTGGTCAACAGTGACAAATGATGCTGAGGATGAGGAAGACTCCGCCAGGGTGGGGGTGCTGAAACCCAGAGATGTGGTCTTGTAGAGGACTGCAGCCAGGGCTGAGTACAGAGCCCAGCCCAGCCCTCCATGTTCATCCCCTGTACTGTAGTCGCCAGTATAAATGGCTGTCTCCCTAGTAAGCTACTCCAAGGTGGGTCTTGTCCATCCTGTTATGTCCCAAAGCCTAGCACAAGGCCAGGCACATAATAGATGCTTAATAAATTTTACTGATGAATGAGTGGATGCATGGAACGATGGATGGATGGTTGGATGAATGAATGAGGAGGAAGAATTGGAAGCAAATGAGGTATCTCTGGCAACTGCCTGGACTAGCTACTATCCTTCAGCTTTCTTTCCTTTTACCGCAATGGCCCGCAGACCCAGAGAACGGAGACAGAGCCCCTGGGCCCTGGCCCCCCTTCCTCTCTCTGACGAAGAGTCTGGACCGAAGGTTCTGCTGACGTGGGAAGGGGAGGAGAGTCTGGAGGAAGGGGAGGGGAAAGCAGCGCAGAGATCGCAGAGACGAAGGAGGCGCCCGCGGCTGCAGAGCTGCAGAGCGGGGTCTCTCCAGCCTCTGTATCCGGGCATCGGTGCCCCCACTGGGCCAAAGGACAGCGCATCCTTTTGGTGCGGGCCGACAAGGCCTCCGCGGTCGGCAAGCTGGCTCCCCGGGTGGCCACCGGGACCCCCGAGCCCAATGGCGGGGGCGGCAGCAAAATCGACAGCACTGTAGAGATCACTCCCAGCCCCAACGGAGTAAGTGCCCGCGCCCCCGGGGCTACGCCATCATCCCCCCGCACCCGCGCCGAAAGCCTGGCATTTTCCTCCCGCGCACTCCCGGCCCCTGACCGCCTTCCTCGCGCCGGCTCTCCTCCCTTGCTCTGCGGCTTTCTCCGCTTCACCCTTCTCCCCCCACCCCCCAGCAGGTCGGGACCCTCGGAGATGCGGTGCCCACGGAGCAGCTGCAGGGTGAGCGGGAGCGCGAAAGGGAGCGGGAGGGGGAGGGCGACGCGGGCGGCGACGGAATGGGCAGCAGCCTGTCGCTGGCCGTGCCCCCCGGCCCCCTCAGCTTTGAAGCGCTGCTCGCCCAGGTGGGGGCGCTGGGCGGCGGCCAGCAGCTGCAGCTCGGCCTCTGCTGCCTGCCCGTGCTCTTCGTGGCGCTGGGCATGGCCTCGGACCCCATCTTCACCCTGGCGCCCCCACTGCACTGCCACTACGGAGGCTTCGCCCCCAACGCCTCCGGCTGGGAGCAGCCCCCTAACGCCAGCGGCGTCAGCGTCGCCAGCGCGGCCCTAGCAGCCAGCGCCGCCAGCCGCGTCGCCACCAGTACGGACCCCTCGTGCAGCGGCTTTGCCCCGCCGGACTTCAACCATTGTCTCAAGGACTGGGACTATAACGGTCTGCCGGTGCTCACCACCAACGCCATTGGCCAGGTGAGGCAGCCTGCTGGGCCGCGGGTCTGGGGGCGGGCCGAGAGCGCGGAGCAAAGGGCCTCAAGCCCCCTGTATCCCTCTCACATCCCCAGTGGGATCTAGTGTGTGACCTGGGCTGGCAGGTGATCCTGGAGCAGATCCTTTTCATCTTGGGCTTTGCCTCTGGCTACCTGTTCCTGGGCTACCCGGCGGACAGGTGAGGGCTGCCGTGGGGATGGGGCAAGTAGAGAGGAGGGGGTGCTAGGGTGGCTAGCCCAGGCAAGTGGCCTTTCCAAGAGGTCGAAGAGGATCCGCTGGACTCTACAGTCTTCTGGACTTCTGTTCAATGATATGCAGCCCATCCCTGTCTCAACTTCACTCCCCATCAAGAAATACTCCTTCCATACCTCTTCTGCACAAGGGGACACTACCACATATTCCCCATCCCCATATCCTTGGATCAGTGGCTAATCTCCAAAGACAATAGCCCCATCCCCACTGATCAAAAACTATCTCCACAGATCAAAAGTCCTAGCTCCTCCTCTATTGTGCCTGTCATCACTAACCACCTCCCTTTCCATCTTCACAGACCCATCCCCACTAATAGCCCCGTCCACATGATGGATTCTATCTCGAGGGCCTTATTCCTATAGATCATTACATTAATTCCTAAGTATCAACAGCCACAATCCCACTGACCTCTATAGTTCAATTCTACAAACAAATGACTCCACCCTTATGGGCCAGTTGTCCAAACCCCATAGATCAATGACCACAATAGCACCCCCTCCCCCAGAGATTAATAGTCCCATCCTCATGGGTCTTCAGTGCTCTTAGATCCTCTCAGATCAAAAGCCCAATTTGCATGAATCAATGGCCTTATCTCAAAAGTCAACAGCCTATCCCCACCAACCAATAGCTTTTCCCAGGGATCAAAACTCCCAATTCTTCTAATTCTTGACACCATCACCACTGACCAAGTATTGCATCTCCACTGATCATCCTCATAGATTATTAGACTCATCTCCACCCATATACAGTCCCATCCAAATGGGTTAATAGCTCAACTTCCACGGATCAAAGACAACCCAACAGTCAATAATCCCTAAAATCAATACCTATCCCCACTGCCTAATAGTCACATACCCACAGGTCAACAGCCCATTCTCATGCATCAGTGGCCTCATTCCCATAGACCAATAGCATCATTCCTATGGAATAATACCCTCATCCCCAAATTCCAATAATTCAGTTTCCTAAATTCGGTACCCTTAGCCTCATTAACCAATAAGCTCACCCCCATGGAAAAATGGCCCCATTGTGTGGGTCAGTAGTTTCACTCTCAGAGATCAGTCCCCCTTCCCAATGATCAGTGACCCCTATCTTCATCCCCATAGATCAGTGGTCTTATCCCCAAAGATCAATAGCCCAGCCTGTCAAGGATCAGTAGTCCTGTCCTCCACTGACTCATACTCACTGACCAATAGTCTCAGGTTCTCTGGTCTGTGACCCCCCCCCTGCTTACGGATTATCCCCATGAATTCATATCCCCATAGGTTCATCCCCACTGACCAATAGCCCCATCCACCCAAGGACTAATGTTCCCACCCCATCCCCAAAGATCATTTGTCCAATCTTCAAAGGTTAATGATCATCCCCATTGATCAATACTTTTACCCCATGTATTAATAAATAGTTCCATTCCCATGGATCAGTGGATCTTCTGGCAAAGGACCCTATCCCCACTGACCATCATTATGGGTTAATTGACCCATGAAACAGCCCATAGAACAATGGCCATATCCCCCCAAATCAATCAGTCCCCTAAGATCAATAGCTACATTTCACTAATACTATCCCCATGCATAAGTAGCCAATGGCCCCACCTTCAGAGATCTATAGTCCCAACCCCGTATATCAGTGACTTCATCTCCTCTGACAAGTATGAGCACAAGCTTTATCCCCACTGACCTGACCAGTATGAGCAAGACAAGCTCTATCCCCACTAACCAATCTATCCCCAGAAATCAATGGTTCTAAGTCTCCTAAACAATATCCTGTCCCCTCTAATGGTTGGTCTCACTTCCATGCTCTCATCTCTGACCAATAGCCCCATCCACAAGAGTCCATGGTCCCACCCCTGCAGAACCATAATTACATTCCAGTGGCCAGTGGCCAGACATCACTTATCCATGGTCCCCTTCCCTTCCCATCTTCTCTAGCCTCAGTCCAACTTTTTACCCCAGTCCTCATACCTCCAAGTTTGAAGGGGGCAGCTGGGCTCCACCCAGCAACTCCTCTCCCAGGGAGTCTGGGTGACCAGAGGCCCTCCCCACTTTCCAGGTTTGGCCGTCGTGGGATTGTGCTGCTGACCTTGGGGTTGGTGGGCCCCTGCGGAGTGGGAGGGGCTGCCGCAGGCTCCTCCACAGGTGTCATGGCCCTCCGATTCCTCCTGGGCTTTCTGCTTGCCGGAGTTGACCTTGGTGTCTACCTAATGCGTGAGTGGCAACTTCCCAGATGTCCTTCCCTTGGGGCTCATGCCTGCCTGTCTGCATTCCCAGGCTGTTCCCACTGCCCCCTAGGATCCCCTCAGTCCCTTTTCAGTCCCCAATTTCAGCTGTCCAGGATCTCAGCTGCCTTTCTGCCCCAGCCTTTGAAGGATCCAGGGACTTTGCTTTTCTCCACACCCCTCCCTGCCAGCCCTCCAATCTTTAAGGCCTTCCTTGCCCTTGACTTACTGCTGTCAGGGAATGGAGCTTTATTTAAAAATGAAATCCTGACTAGCTGTATGTCCTTGAACAAGGGTTGATATGAAGGTCAAATAAGAGGCCTGATGTGAAAGGCCCTGTAAACTGGGAATGCTGAACCCACCAGGGACTCTGACCCTTGAGCCCTCTCAAGTTTGAGGAGAGGAGAGAGGACTGAACAGTCTCTCCACTCTTTGCCACTCAGAGGTTAGTCTGTGGGAGGTGATGACTACAGCCTCCACTCTGGGTCTGACTTTGCTCTCTGTCCTCCCTCCCTTTCTTCTCCTCTCTCCCATGCCTCCTTCCTCCCTGGCGTCTCCTCCCTGTCCCTGCTGTATCTCTAGGCCTGGAACTGTGCGACCCAACCCAGAGGCTTCGGGTGGCCCTGGCAGGGGAGTTGGTGGGGGTGGGGGGGCACTTCCTGTTCCTGGGCCTGGCCCTTGTCTCTAAGGACTGGCGATTTCTTCAGCGAATGATCACCGCTCCCTGCATCCTCTTCCTGTTTTATGGGTTAGTATCATCCTCCACCTGTTGTCTGGCCATTTCCACCTCTATCTCCAGCCTGGCTCTAGCCTGGAGACCTTTCCTCTTCTCCACTGCCCTTTGTCCAGGCCTGCCCCAGCCAGCCCTAGCCCTTCAGAGGTGGGAGTTTCCCACCCCTGGATCAGGAGACCTCAGAGTGCACCCCCACCCCCACCCCTAGCTGGCCTGGTTTGTTTCTGGAGTCTGCGAGGTGGCTAATAGTGAAGCGACAGATTGAGGAGGCGCAATCCGTGCTGAGGATCCTGGCTGAGCGGAACCGGCCCCATGGGCAGATGCTGGGAGAGGAGGCCCAGGAGGCCCTGCAGGGTAAGAGACAGGGGTCCCTACAGGTGATGCTTCACATGTACACATGACAGTGCCCTCTCCACGGTTACAGCTGTGCCACCTCTCAGGGTCCCCACCACCCATGTGGAGGGCCCTGGGTTCAGCTGTTTCTTCTAACAGACAGCTCCTCTCTCTTTCCCAAAGACCTGGAGAACACCTGCCCTCTCCCTGCAACATCCTCCTTTTCCTTCGCCTCCCTCCTCAACTACCGCAACATCTGGAAAAATCTGCTTATCCTGGGCTTCACCAAGTGAGCCTGGGTGTCTGAGCCAAGGGCCAGGCCAGTAGCTGGAATGGGGGCTGGCTGGGTGGGGAAGGCCTGAGGACCCCTGCCAAGGGCAGCCAGGGTGGTGGAAGGCTGTGGATGGGGATTCAGACACTGCTGTTTGCTTTGTCCCCCTTCTCACAGCTTTATTGCCCATGCCATTCGCCACTGCTACCAGCCTGTGGGAGGAGGAGGGAGCCCATCGGACTTCTACCTGTGCTCTCTGCTGGCCAGTGGCACAGCAGCCCTGGCTTGCGTCTTCCTGGGGGTTACCGTGGACCGATTTGGCCGCCGGGGCATCCTGCTACTCTCAATGACCCTCACTGGCATTGCGTCCCTGGTCCTGCTGGGCCTGTGGGATTGTGAGCATCTTCCCTTCCCCACAGTGTGGGCTGAGCAAAGGAACCCCAGCAGAGGTGCCTCAGGCAGGCTCAGCCACTACCTCCCAAGTCCAGACCAGACCCTGCCCAGATCTTCCACAATCCTCCCCACCAGACCACACAACCCTGTCTGTTCTCCCTAGTCGATTAGTGGATGCCCAGAGAGCCCACCTGGCTAGAGCCATGGGATCAGAGAACCAAGGGTTTGATGAAGCCAGGGACTAGGCCACACGTGATCTCCTCACTTCCATTCACATCCTCCCTCTTGGCCCTCCAGATCTGAATGAGGCTGCCATCACCACTTTCTCTGTCCTTGGCCTCTTCTCCTCCCAAGCTGCTGGCATCCTCAGCACCCTCCTCGCTGCTGAAGTCATCCCTACCACTGTCCGGTGAGCACAGTGTTGCTGGGGCTGAGGAAGGGCCTGAGGGAGGGAGGGGAAAGTGCTGGAGAAGGGTTGGGGTGAGGCCCATGGTTAGAGGCTGAGTGCCTCCTCCATCTCTCCCAGGGGCCGAGGCCTGGGCCTGATCATGGCACTGGGAGCTCTTGGAGGGCTGAGTGGCCCAGCCCAGCGCCTCCACATGGGCCACGGAGCCTTCCTGCAACATGTGGTGCTGGCGGCCTGTGCCCTCCTCTGCATCCTCAGCATCATGCTTCTGCCGGAGACCAAGCGCAAACTCCTGCCCGAAGTGCTGCGGGATGGGGAGCTGTGCCGCCGGCCTTCCCTGCTGCGGCAGCCACCCCCTAACCGCTGTGACCATGTCCCACTGCTTGCCACCCCCAACCCTGCCCTCTGAGTGGCCTCTGAGCACCCTGGCAGGAGGCTGGCTTGTACGGAAAGGTGGTATAAAGCCCTGGCGAACCGATTGGGAGGACTGAGTGAGGAAGGCAGGGCTGTCCAGAAGGCTCAGAGGCACCTCATGCCAGCCACCGAGGAGAGCTCAGAGGGCTGTCCCCACCCCCATCTCCTCCCTGCTGCTTTGTGTTCACTTCCTTGGCAAGAGTCAGGGGACAGGGAGCGAGCTCCACAGTGTAACCACTAGGTCTGGGCTCCATCCTGTGCCCAAAGACATCCTCCCAGACCTCGTTCTTTCTTGCTCTATCATTCTGTTTCAATAAAGACATTTTGAATAAATGAGCATATCATAGCCTGGACTTCCCTCCCTTCTGTTGTACTGTCTCTTCGGGGAAGGTTTCTCTTAGTGGAACCAAAATCAGCAACAATCTCCCTTCCGCCTTCCCCTGGGCCTTCCCCCCTCCCCCCACCCCATGTTACTTTACAGACAGCCACCACCCTTTACTGATGGCTTGCTATGCAGCTAAAGACTGGGCTAGGCACTTTACAAACTTCACTTAATCATTTAGTCCCTTCCAACACTGCAAGGTAGGTGTTGGGTCAATTAAAAGTTTTTGTTGTTGCAAGCAATGAAAACTGACCATAATAAACTTAAACGAAAATGGGAATTTATTAGAGGGATTTGGTGGGGCAGGTTGTAGTAGGGAGCTCACAGAAGAGGCGGAACTAGTCATGAAAGGTCAGGAACCAGACAGGCTCCCTAGTCTGGGAAGTATGACTTCATCTGGATGAATGACCTCCACTGGGGTTCCATCTTTGGGTCATTCCACTTAAGAGTCATTTCCAGAGAGCAAATGACTGGCTAACTTGAGTTAACATGGCTGCACCCCCATCCATATTACTGACAACTGGGGAGACAGAAGGCAGCAACTGTGTGTTGTTAGCAGAAGTAGGACAGGATGTTGTGCAGGTAAAAACAATGGATGCCCACTATAGTATTCTTCTTCTTTTACAGATAAGAAAACTGATGCTCAGAGAGACTCAGTAACCTGCTCAAGGTTACAAAGCTAATGAGTGACAGAGCTGGGACATAATTAGATCCTGGAGCTGGAGCTCTTCACTGATGCACACTATGGCCACCTTTCTAACCCCTTCCAATCTTTAGGCATTACCCTTGGAAGCGAGGAGTCTCAAGGCACCCCAGGAGTTGGCAGTAGGTGACTAGGTCTTCCACATCAGTGCCAGGACCTGCCTCTCAGACTAGCCCTGGCCTGGCTTGACCACTTTGGGCAAATCTCTTAACGTCCAGCTTCCTTCAAGGGTTGCTGGGAGATTAAACAAGATAATGTATTTATACATGTCTCTTAAACTGATTTACCACTAGATGGTAAGCTCCTTGAGGGCAAGAACTCTTTCTCAATTTAAAAACACAAAAGCCTGACACATGATAGACATTGAAAAAGTTATTGTTTGTTCATTCTTTCAGCAAATGTTTCCTGTGCCCAACTTACGAACCAGTTACCATCCTGGATATTTAGGGCATAGGCCATCCTTCAGGGACCTTAAGATCCATCTAATACTAGGAATAGTAATGAGGAGAGAGACCAGTGGTTTGGGGCACTAAACAGCTGCATCCTGAAGCAGGTGAGACTTCACTCAGAGTCAGGAAACCCTCACGCAAAGGCTTAGGAGAAAAGTACAGTGCTTTCGACCCAAAGGATATAGGGACAGCAAAGGCCCGGAGGTAGGAAATGGGTGAGGCAGTCCTGGAAAAGATTCTTGGGGAAACTGAAGTGTTGAGGCCAGTCTCTTCCAGAGAAGGGAGACCTGTTCTCCACAGATTCCTGCAGCACCCAGGGTCCTATCTCCTTCCTCTCTGCCAATCCAAATCTAAGGCCCAAAGCTCTGTGAACTAAGCCATGCTGCTGGGGTCTCCATACTAATTGCATTAGTGGAGAACTCATAAGAACCCTTCTCATTTAATCTTCACAGCCCTCTGAAATTGGTTTTGTTATTTTTATCCTATTTAACTACTGAGGACATGGAAATGAGAGAAATGGAAGGATCTGCCATTAGATGGCAGAGCCAGGACTCAAAACCCGGCCCTCTGGCTGCTCTTTCAACTCCACTCGTTCCTTCACAGTTATGTACTGTGTACCCCACATTCTGTAGAACAATGTCTGTGAACAATGTAACTGATTCCAATGTTCACTTTTTAGTTCTGGGTAGCCCCAATGATAAATGAGAGATCATACTACTGTCTCCAGCGATTCGGTGAAAACCAACCTGACGGTAGGTAAGAAAGTTCTGTACTTTTTGGAAGTACAAGGAGTTATTCGCACACTAATGACATCGTCCAGTACATATTGTGAGGAATGGTATCAACGGGGCATTCCAGCAAATCCAGTCTTTATACACTGCTGGAAGAAGGGCAGGGGAAAAAAAGTAAAAAACACTCAGGAAGTTAGAGCAGCTCCTGTAGGAGCATAGTTGAAAGAGAACCAGATTCTCTGACTTCAACCAAAAAGGTAGAGACAACGAAAATGAAAGCATTCAAGAAGTATCAGTGAAGCACAGGGGAAAATATAGTTCTTCACCCCTAAGAAATTCATAATCTAGGTGAAAAGGGTCAGCATGTATAACTAACACAACTGGCATCTTGCTCTAAAATTCACCAACCACATAATCTCACTGGACCCTGCCTGATCAATAACCCCATGAGAAACAGTTCTCATGGTTTAGGGTGTTACAAATGGGGAGACTGAGGTTTGAAAAGGTAACTTATTCAAGGTTATGTGACTCTTAAGTAAGTAGAGTAGCCAGATTTTGAGAACTGAGAGCCTGCAATCTTCTTCCTGTACACCAGATAGAAAATATTTCTAAACACCACGTAAATATTAATTCTCCTGTAGTCAGTTTAGAAGACAACCCAGGAACTTGGAGATCGTTTTTAGGAAAATAAGGAAGTGACTACTTTCACGAACATGAAACACTGTAGAAATGTTTTCGTTGGATTCACAACTACGAGCCATAATGGGTTATTCAGAGGAAAATTAAAAGTATATACAGGGTACATTTCTAAGCTTAAGTTACATTAAGTGACATGAAGGCCACTCTCATTCCTCTCATTCGGTCAACCTAGCCTGGCCACCACATAACCATTTTTTGCTGATTACCCACTGTCTGGTGCTGCCTCAGCTCTGGGGGAGGGAGCATGGTCCTTCCCTGCAAGGGCTCTGAAGACTGTGAGACAAATCATTACAATCCTACGTGGAAAATGTGGAAATGTAAAAGTGCTTCATTGGCTGAGGAGGAAGGATCTGCTCTTTTGGAGACAGTCAAGGAAAGCTTCTTGGATATTTGGACTGAAACAGTGCCAAGTCCAGAGGTATGACAGAACATGGATGGTGTGGAGTCAAGTGTTTAAACATCCATGATATAAAAGTAATCTATGAAAAACCCACAGCTAACACCTTATTTATCATGACTGACTGAAAGCTTTTCCCAAAGATCAGGAGCAAGACAAGGATGTCTGCTCTCACCACTTCTATTCAACATTGTACTGGAGGTTCTGGCTAGGGAAATGAGGCAAGAAAATGAAAAACAAGACATCTGGAATGTAAAGGACAATGTAAAACTCTATATTTGCAGATGACATGATCTTGTATATAGAGAATCCTAAGGAATACACAAACACACCTGTTAGAACTAAACAAACAAGTTCAGTAAGGCTACTAAACTTAGTTAAACTTGTACAAGATCAATGTACAAAATCAATTGTATTTCTATACAATAGCAATGAACATTCTGAAAGCAAAATGCAGAAACTTCCATTTAATATAGCAAAAAACAATACTTAAGAATAAATGTAATAAAAGAAGTCTAAGACTTATACACTGGAAACTACAAAACATTGTTAAAAGAAATCAAAGACTTAAATAAATAGACATACTGTGTTCATACTTTGGAAGACTTAGTATTGTTACAATGGCAATCCTCCCCAAATTGTTCTACAGATTCAATGTAATCCCTATGAACATTCTGGCTTTCTTTTTTGCAGAAACTGACAGGCTGATTCTGAAATTCATATGAAATGTAAAAGACCCAGAGTAGCTAAACAATCTTGAAAAAGAACAAAATTGGAGGTCTCATACTTCCCACTTCCAGAACTTATTACAAAGGTACAGTAATGAACACAGTGTAGTAAATGGCATAGGACATCCATATAGATCAATGGAATAGATTTCAGACTCTAGAAACAAGCCTGCACATTCTTGGTTAATTCATTTTCAACAAGGGTACCAACACCATTCAATGGGGAAAGAGTAGCTTTTTAAACAAATGGTGCTGAGACAAATGCATTATCTGCATGCAGAAGAATGAAGTGGCCCCTCCCTCACACCATACACAAAAGTTCATTTAAAATGGATCAAAGACCTAAATGTAAGAGTTAAACTATAAAACTCTTAGGAGAAAACACAGGCATAAATCTCCAGGACCTTTCTGTTTCAAAGGATATTATCAAGTGGAAAAACAAAACAAAACAAAACAAAACCCAACAAAATGGGAGAAAATATTTGCAAATCAAATATATGATAAAGGTCTAATACTCAGAATATATAAAGAACTCTTACAATTCATAATAAAAAGACAGACAAGCCAATTAAAAAGTGGGCAAATAATTTGAGCATTTTTCTTTAAAGAAGATATACAAATGGCCAGGAAGCACATGAAAAGATGCTCAACATCATTAGTCATTAGAGAAATGCAAATAAAAAACATGAGATACCACTTCATACCCACTAAGATGGCTATAATAAAAAAGATGGACAGTAACAAGTTAGGTGAGAATCTGGAGAAACTGACCCTCATACACTGCTGGCAGAAATGTAAAATGATGCAGCTGCTTTTGAACAGCCCTGTAGTTCCTCAAAAGGTTAAACATAGTTAGTTACTTTATAATCTAGCAACTCCACTCCTAGGTATGTATTTAAGAGAAACGAAAATGTATGCTCACAAAAAAACATGTAGCTTGTAGCAGCACTGTTCCTAATAGTAAAAAAAAGAAAAAAAAAGGAAATAATGCAAATGTCCATCAACTCATGGATAGTCAAAATGTGGCCAATCCATACAAGGAATTATTATTCAGCTATGAAAAGGAATGAAGTGCTGATACATGCTACAACATGAATCTTGAAAACACTATGCTAAGTGAAGGAAGCCAGACACAAAATGCCACATATTGTATGATTCTATTTATATGAAATATCCAGAACAGGTAAAGTCATAGAGACAGAAATTAATAGTTGCTAGGGGCTAGAGGGAGGGAAAATTAGGGGGGCTTGCTAATGGGTATAGGGTTCTTTGGGGGGGGTTATGAAAATAGAGTTAATAAAATTAGGTAGTGATGATGGTTAATATATGTTGCACTAAATACCATTGAATCGTACACTTAAAAGGTAATTCTTTATGGTATGTGAATTATATCTAACAACAAAACCCATATAGCTTTTCAGTGGGATATGCCAGAGGTATGGCAAACTGACACTTTTCTACAGCGAATAAAATTAAAGTTCTCTTACTAAATGATTTCTCTTTAACAAATGCTAGCACCTAGAACAGCACTTGCTGGGTACTCAGTAAATGTTTGTTGAATCAATGATTACCACAAGCATAAAGAAAGGGAAAAAGGCATTTGAGATTAGCAGAATTGAAAGATGTTTTAAAATCAGGTCTTGATTTAAGAAAGGCCACTCATTTCAACCATACATAAAAGGAAGGCTGTTATCGGAAAAAAACAGCAACCACTTTTCTTTATTGCTGATGTCAGGTTGGGCAAATCCCGTCTGAAAGAGCTCTGTGAGACTAGGTTCATTCCAATCCCTCAGATAAGAGGGAGCTCATCAGGAGTGACTGACCAAAAAACAAGCAATCTTTCCCAAGGAAAGCAACTTTCCTTTCATGTTACTTCCTCTAAAATCACGGAGGATGATGCAGGAAAAATGAAAAGACCAAGTAAGGAAAGAAATCTGATGCTTGTGAGGATAAGAACTAGCAGGTCCAGGATAAAGGGAACCCCCAAGGTGAATTAACACCTTCTGAGCACCTAAGTTATACAAAGGCACAATCCACACCCTCAAGGAGTTTGCAGTCTAGTGGGGAAACAGGGATGTAATTGTTTTAATTATAAAGCTATGAAGTACTAAACAGAGATAGAAGCAATTTGCCCTGAGGGCAGGAGTGATTCATAATGACTAGGGAATGAAGAAAGGTTTCTGGCTGTAGTGCCTGGCTTTATACATTACGATTCTGAAAGAGCAGATGGAATGGGCACAGCATGAGCAATAAATGAAATATAATAAAATTAACTGCAATGCACAGGGCATCACATGTAGAACAAGATGTGACAGGGAAATCTAATCAGAATTAAATTGGGAAAGGACTTCATTCCACATCTGCGTTTACAATTACTGGTGGTAGAACAGGGGCGTTTCTGGCAACATTAAGTTTGTGGAGTCAGACATCTACCAGGAGCCCACTTTAAGATGGGGAGTTGCTCAAGCAATTAAAATAGCATAGAAAGAATGGGCAGGATATGGAGAACTAACTGGACATATAAAATTAAAAACAAAGAAGGGTCAAAAAAATGACAATCGCCTGTCCAAGATCCAGCAATTTGGAAGGGGTTTTGCAGATAGCCACTTAACGCCCCCTGGTGGATAGAGACCTTCCCAACATTAACATCATCAAGCTACTTCAGACCTCTCACATTCTAGCAAATATTGAAACCATCACTACCAGACTCCTACTAATCAGCCTCTGCAGCAATCTCCACACTATTCTAGCTGAATGTTGTTAGAGCAGACAGATACCCCCCCGCTGCAGAATGCTTAACAAATGACGCAACAGGAACAGTACAATAAATGAGCAAATACTTAAGTGGTCAATACTGACCTGAGAATTCAGAATACAAAGCCATTGGAGAAGTGGGTTAAGGCTTCAGAGATATATAGGACACTCATTTCTTTAACCTAAGATTACTGAAGAGAATACCTAGGTCAGAGGCAATCACAAAATATTCTGGGAACAGAGGTTAATGGTGCAACAGAATATATAAAGGTTTAAATTTAGAAATCCTCTAAGTAATGGAGAAGACTTGAGCAGGGCCAGAGGGACAGGAACACAATGTAGTAGTACCCAAGGAATCTGGATACTGATTTGACATAATACAAAATAGAGAAATTTGGTGTTAATGTGACCAACTACTAAACCTAAGGATATTAAATCAGTAAAAGCCAGTTAGTTAAGTCCTAATTAACGGAATGATTCAAAATGAGTTAGCTGAACAGAGTAAGTGGTCACTGCATGGCTAGAAAAGATATTGCCATGGTCTTTGTTAGTTAACTACTTTTTCCCTCATTTTTTGAGCTGACTTTGGGGTAAAGACAAGAAAAGCTACCCAGATACCCCTAAGAATCTAGTGCTGCTGGTGTGGATAATTCATTTGCATGTTAAATTTACTCAGGAGTACACACTGAAGTGCTATCAGATTACTCTCTTCTGGCCGTTCTTTTACATTCCCAGGCTCATTTGATTTACCTCAAATGCCAATCAGGGCTACATGCTACCCAGAAAACTCATCATCCTCAACTAAATACACAATGTTCCCGTTAGTTGTAATTTTAACTCCTACTCCTTAATTCGTAAATGAGAACTTCCCCTCCACAACACCAGCACTTCCACAAAGGAGAATTAACAGCCATCTGGGATCTAAGAGAAAATAGGAAAATAGATAAATAACCCTCACACCCAAAAGGCCAAACAATTTTTATTTTCAAAAACAACTTTATTCATGACACATATTAAAAAAAAAACTCCCACCCCCTGGAAATGAGCTAAAAAAATAAAGAAAATCCACCTCCCACCTCCCTGTTCCCACTTCCTCCCATTCCCTCCAAATAAAAGGGAAAAAAAGGCAAAGGAAAACAAAACAAAACAAAAAACTGAAAAACAAAAAAACGCCCCAAAACCCCCCAAAACAAGGTAGTGCATTTCCCCAAGGGGTAGGGGAATTTACACTGGAGCCGCTGGGAGCGGAACGGAGATCTTCCGGCTACAGAAACCTGCAAAGAAAGACACTCAAAACAGAAAAAGAAACACAAAAGGAAACAAAATAGATCACCAGGCAATCTGGAGGGGCAGGGAGCCGGAAAAGAGGGGTGGGATGGGTGGTAGACTTGGCAGGACAGGAGCAGGCAGGAGGGGACTGTGAAAGTTAGGGAGAAGATGGAGGGAAGGTAACAAGCAGAACAGTTTGGTGTCCTTCCAGAGCCCTGGGTAAAAAAACCCCTCCTACCACCCATGCCCACCTACCCTTGAGCAGCCCCCAAGGTGGTGAAGTGGGACAGGGAAACAAGGGGAGCAGCTTGCGCAGTTGAGACGTGTCCATGGCGAATCCCCAGAGTGAATGAGCAGCCCCCTGCCCCACTCCCTGGGCCTTCCCCTACTCCCCAAAGCAGGTCCCTCCTCAGCAGTTAGTTATGGGATTCTCCCCCCTTTCCACAGTATATCTTTTTTTTAAAAAATATTTTTTTTTTCCATCAAGGTCATCTTCTGTTTTTCTTTTTTTTTTTTTTAATTCTTTTTTTTTTTTCCTTCTTTCCTCTTTTTTTCCTCTCTCTCCTCCTAATACACACTTTTTTTAGTAAGGGGAATACCATGATGTCGCTCTAGCCCGGCCCCTGGAAGAAAGAAGGAGAGTTAGGTGTTAACATAATCACTTAAGAGTCAGCACAAGCCCCTCCCCATGGGCCCTTGCCCCAGTTATAGTGCAGGGAATGGGGGGAAAGAAGTTTCCAAGTATCCTAAAACTGACCCCATTATCCCAGAAATAGTGACACACCTGGCAAATGGGAGGGGACAATTTAACAGAACACCTTGCCATTGGCAAAAAAGCATATCTGAGATAATAGGGGCAAGAAAACGGACTTATTGTTTATCCACTTTTCAGTCAGTTCTCCACAGCTCTAAACCCCAGGCCTTCACCATCAGATCCTCCCTAATTCCTGGGAGTAGATAAGTAAATCTTATGAAAAGCCAAGGTCTATATGCTTATCCTGTCTATTTAAAGGCAGAGAGATGATAATAAAGCAACAACATGGGCATCACACTAGGCCCAGAGAAAAAGTTAACCTTGTAAAACACTGGCTCAGTTAAAGAGTAAGTATCTCATTATCCTCCCACATGGCTGTTGAAAAGGATCAACTAGCCTCTGGTATTCTTCCAAGGGAGGTTCAATCTTCAACTCCTCCTTAACTCTGGGAAAAGTAGCAAATGTCCAAGCAGTGCCTTCACTACCCTGAGGCCGTTCTTCCTGGCCTGTTTTGTAAACACCTTCACTGCCACCAACTCTCAAGGGAAAAAAGGCTGGGGGAAGAACCATCTCTCAGAACAAAGTGGAGAGATCCAGCCCTTATCACCAACTCTTGCTCCAGAAAACGATGATGAGACTGGCCTCCTGGCCTGGCCTGCAACTACCTTCCTCACCCTGCACAGGCAGGAGACCAAGTCCCTGGAGACCAAGGGGAGGGTAAGTGAGGGAGATTCCTCAGATCAGGAGAGAAGGAAACATACAGGGCTCATGGGAGGCGGGGGGAGAGGAGCAGCCCATCTATCCTGACCTGTAGACGCGACCCCGGGGCCTGCTGTTAAAACCACTGTAGAATCGAGAGCGGGAACTGTTGTAGTTGGTGGTCCGGGCACGGTATCGGGCTCGTGGGAAACCCCGGTCTGTTGTGCTGATGCCTGGTCTGTTGGTTCGTTTTGGGATCACCTGACAGTGACGGATGTACAACAAAAAGCCTCAGAATAAGCCTGGAGAGTTTACACAGAACCAGAACAGCAATGGGCATGGGGCTTACCTTGATTTGTCTTCCTCTAAATAGGGACTCATCTAAGGCCAAGGAAGTCCTCACTGACTCTTTGTCTGAGAACTCTATATATGCAAACCTGAAAAGAGTAATAGTCATTTTATCTATCTGAAGTTTAAAAAAGTAGCTTACGTGTCAAATCCAATTTTTAGGCATGCTTTACTCAAGCAATAACACATCCACATTTTTTTATTACTTTTCAAAAAATTCTTAAATGCAAGATTTCAATACAAATTTCTAGCTACTCTTGGAAAATTATAAAACAGTATCCACAGGGCCTGGATTTCCATATAGCAGAACCAGTTAGGGCTAAGCAGAAGCTGTCCCTCTCTCTTCTAGCCCACGAATACACCCACACTAACCTTCATCTTTATCTAAAGGCCTCTGAAAGCATTTACGTGCAACCCCTGATATATATCAACATTAATTCTTCGTAAGATGAACACCACTTACTTTAACAGCAAGTTAACTTACTGTTCAATATAAAACATTTTGTCTACTTTTAAAATGTGATTAAAATAACCTCAACTTACTTCCCTACTTACCCTTTAGGATGGCCACTAAATTTGTCACAAAGTATGGTAACACGGTTGACTGAACCACAGCCATGAAAGTGTGCTTCCAGCTCTTCTGCTGTTGCACCATAGTCCACCTGTAGGGATAAAGGGGTTATGTTTCACAGGTACTGGGCAAACAAGCTCCCATCTCAACAGGTATCTCTGCCGAGCCTCTGGGCTGGGCCACCATATACACCAAGGCACATCAAATATGATTCTTTAAGAAACTAATCCTTTTCTCTTCCCAACCCTAAAGCCTCTGCTGATCACCAGTACCTTTTACCTCCTCCAAACCCTCCCAATATTCCCCAAATCCACCACCTATCCTTGAGATGTTCCTTTCAATACTCCTACTAAGCAACTCCCAAAACAAGAGCTTCCCCCAACACCAATCAGGGCCCTAATACATACATTGCCAACATAAATGGAACGGGCATCAGCCTCCATCTTCTCTTCAATGGACATGATCACTGGGCCAGCTTTGAAGAAAAAAGAAATCGGAGGGGAAAACAAAGCTAGTTTTCTATTTGACCAATAAGTGTACCCCTCCCACCACCAGTGCTACAGTGAAGGCAAAGATTTAGGTCTGCTCTGTTCCCTGCTGTACCCATTATCAAGAATACCATCTAACACACAATAGGTACTCAGTGAACATTTGACAAATCAGCAACAGATTAACACAGTCCTAAAAACCAGAGAGAACAGTACAGGAATTCCCTCCTTCCCCCAAACCAAGTCCCTGTTTATTGAATAACTTTGAGTGAAATCATTTGAAAAGTGAACAAAATCAAGGGAACCCAAACTCAACATTTCTGGATTAAAGGGAAAGCCCCCGTAGTGGAGCAATTTCTTAGGACTCTTAAAAGGTCTCAAACTAAAAGAAGAACCATGAGCCTTGAAGGTCAAATGCCAATTGGAAACCTCCACAAAGAGTAGAGGTAGAATAAAGAACAAAGAGCAACAGACATGTAAAAAGGACAAAGAAAGGCACAAGATTACCATCATCAAAACAGGTTTTTGCCTCACTAAGGTCAGAGGAACACACAATGGACAATGACCACAGCACCTGCCCAGTAATTGCTCAGACAAGCAGCCTCGAAGTCCCGAGCATCTAATCCCATACAACCCGTGTTCGCATAACCCTTCCGAGGACCCGGGTTCCGCGTGCAACCGCCAGTTACTCACCATTGCCTGGAGGTGGACTCATATTCATCTGTTTCTCTACCTCGTTCTGTAGCTCCTTTAGCTTCTCGGCTTCTTCCTCCATCTCCCTGACTCGAGCTTTGATCGCTTCCAGCTCCTACAATGAGTGGAGAGGGTATGGAGAAGAGCTTAACAGGAACCAACGCAAGGGCTGCGCCCAGCTCTCCGTCCGAGCGCGGCCTCATGCTCGGCCATTTCCCTCGCCCCACACGCGGGTCACGATGAAAAAAAAAGCAAGCTACCTTCTCTAAAACAACACTAAGCACCCATAACGCCCGAATCAACCCGGCTAGGCCCCTTCTGGCGGTCGAGGATCCGTCCCCGGCCCTGCCCCAGCCACGTTATTCCC